TTTCACTTTCCCTTGTTAGGGCAAATTTATCATTACAATCAACATAAGTAAAAAAAAAACTAAAAAAACATTGTAATCAAAAGTGAAGGGTGAAATGAGCACTGGGCGTATATAGATTTTACCGTCTTAGGGAGAAAGTTTGACTGGGCGAAACATTTTTCGGTAAGCAGTATATAATCTGTTAAAATTTGTTAATATGCTCAAATTTGAGCAAACTTAAATAAGTACATTTACTGTAAGATAAGAAGTGTCATTTTCAAAAATTGTTCCGATTTCTAATCATTCCTTAACTCATTCACCCCTGAAGACAAGTTTGAACTCTTCCAATTCATAGGTTGGAATAGTTCATTATGAAATTTCAGGGGTGGCTCATTCACCCTTACATTTTTAAACTGAACTTGCCAAGTCTTTGATATGGTAAGGTTCAAATGTGACTTTAGGGGTGAATGGGTTAACTCGCAAAGTACATTGCACTAATGTTTGGTAGCATGGAACTTATGCCGTGTACTTTAGGAAATACAGTGTGATGAAGGTGTGACCAAAGTGTCGAAACATGCAATCTTATGGATAAAATAATTCAAGAAATAAACAATAATGGTATTGGTGATGGGATTTGAACCCTCAACTTTTCAGTCTATAGTATTTGCCAGTCTCGGCTGTAATGAGCTCAATGCATGGTATTGGCACATAAAGCATGAACCCAGACTAACTGATGTCCAGAACCATTCCAGAGTGTTTCCAAATTCTGAAACACCATTTACATGAATCACTTTCAGAGCTCAAACAGTAAATATTTGGTCTCGGATACTGATTTTACAGATATGTCATTTTGACAACTTTCAAAGCAATTAATGAAGTAGTCATTCAACACAAACCCTGTTTGACAAATCTGTGAAAGACACTATAAGGGACATTAACTGTAAGTGGCTTAAAGCTACTTTGGATAACCCCCTGTTACGAAGTTAGGGGGGTATACTCGAATCACTATGCTCCTCCTTTTTGTGTCCGGAGGCACAAGTTTGTCTTTCTGTTAAGGCTCCTCAACAGATTTCAATGAAACTTAATTTGTACACTTTATCAGTACACAAACTGATGGTAGTAATTAAGTATACTCTATGTGCCAGTACTTTTTGAAATGGCAGAGTGTCACATACTAAACTTGGAGTTATGGCCCTTTGGTTACTGTATTATTTTGTCTTGGGCATATCTTATATACCTTGTCACAGAAAATTGCCAAATATTGTATGCCAAAACCATTTTGGAAGGCATAGTGTTGCATACTGAAATATACAGAGTTATGGCCCTTTGTCCATTTTGATACCAACGCTTGTATGAAGGCTTGGGACTATGGATTACACTTAATACTTGTAAAATATTATAACCCATGGTATTTTTTTTTGGCCCATTTTTGACTGTTTTTGGCAGTCAAATTAAAGTGAGTGAAAATTGCCTAATGTTTATATGTGACATTTNGACCGCTAAGGTCCTTGGGCCTCTTGTTTCTTTTAGTAAGGAAAAACATTTGAATCTGATAATAACAAACACAGCAATCTACAGTGAACAGAGGATCTACGAATATAGTACACTATATGCATTAGTTTGTTAAAGAGACTGTTCTTTGTCAGAGAATGCATTTGCATTAGGTATGTGTTTGTAGTAAGTTTGTGTTTTACTGACCCAAGATTTAAAACAGTTTTAGAGGCCAAAAAGAACTACATGTAGTTGAAAAATATTCATTTGACAGACAATGCATGTATCAAATGGCTTTGTCTGAGCGACCATATCATAATTAGAAACCAGTACACTCTCATCATTTATATGTAAAGGGCCTTTTGAGGATAGTCACAAAGAAGTTTGAAAAAAGAGCATCTGTCAGACACTTTTATGTGAAGGGTCTTTTAGTTGGACAACAGAACATTATCGAGAACTGTTTTGGGAATTGTTCCTGATGGACGGACACATGGTTGATGTAAGGAAGCCTTATTTGGTTGTCAGTGATTGTCTGGGCCGGTAGCATAGATGCCTTGTGACACAGTGATTGTACCTAGGAACTGGCTAGGTCTCATTGATCCATACTGATTTAGATATGCCGTGCAGATAATTGCTGTACTGAGTTCAAAAATAGCTCGGCAATTAGACGCCTCTACAGTTACAGCACCTCAACAGAGATGGATGGTGTGGTATACCGGAGTTGACAAAGGTTTTGGTTAAGACTCACTTGGAAACCCAAGTACAATCTGATTTAGTTGGTTTGTTTTCTAATGGAAAGTTATTGTATCTTATGTAAGAAACTAAAAGGCTCCCCTTCCGTTGGTCTGAACAATAGCTAGATAAGGCAGTAATTAGCCACATATTAGTGGTACATACACAGGCCTCTATAAAGCAAGCAATTACAAGGTTCTTAAAAGCAGGTAATTACAGGTTTTCATACAGCAACTAATAACACAAGCTTCTCTAAAGCAAGTAATTACATGTTTTATAAAGCATGCAATAACAAGCCTCTCTAAAGCAAGTAATTACAGCTTAAAAAGCAAGCAATTACAAGCTTCTCTAAAGCAAGCAATTACAAGCTTCTCTAAAGCATGTAATTACAGGTTTTAGAAAGCAAGCAATAGCAAGCCTCTCTAAAGCAAGCAATAGCAAGCCTCTCTAAAGCAAGAAATTAAATAACAAGCTTCTTAAACGCAATCAATAACCAACTACCTTCTGGATAGCAAGCTTCTCTAAAGCAAGCAATTACTGGTAAATTAGACTAAAATACTTTGCAGTTACTATTTATAAAAAAAGTTGACTTAGTTGAAAACATCATAAGTGCACATTAATAAACTATCCTATCTAAATCTATCTAAACTATCCTAATTATAATGAGACTTCTGACCTTAGACAATTCAGTAATTGCCTTTTCTTCAAATCCAAAGGATTGCTCATATGGGAAGCTCTGTGATAAATATCTATGCACTCTATAGACGCAATGACAAAACAGATAAAATACATCACATTTTTGCATATTTGATGATACAGCTGACTTGAAATTATCACAGAGTAGCTATATATATATTAAATTTTATTCTAAAACTTGTCACCAGAGTGGCTTCTAGTTAGTGCTATCCAGAGCAATGTTGCTGATGTATACATACCAGGGCATCAGTTTAACTAAAATTATAGTTGATTCCCTGACTAACTCATGATCATGCCACAGTGACTTCTTGACTTAAAGTATTAGGTGCACATTTATCCCTCTTCAGTGACTCACTGACAAATGGTATAGACTCATTCGGCATTCATGCCTCAGTGACTCCCTGATTAATGGTATATTAACATGAATGACTCAGTGACTCCCTGGTATAGACTCACCATCATGCATCAGTGACTCCCTGACTAATGGTATATACTCACCATCATGCCTCAGTGACTCCCTAACAAATGGTATAGACCCACCACCACGCCTCAGTGACTCCCTGACTAATGGTATAGACTCACCACCGTGCCTCAGTGACTCCCTGACTAATGGTATAGACTCACCATCATGCCTTAGTGACTCCCTGACTAATGGTATAGACTCACCACCGTGACTCCCTGGCTAATGGTATAGACTCACCACCGTGCCTCAGTGACTCCCTGACTAATGGTATAGACTCACCATCATGCCTTAGTGACTCCCTGACTAATGGTATAGACTCACCACCGTGACTCCCTGGCTAATGGTATAGACTCACCACCGTGCCTCAGTGACTCCCTGACTAATGGTATAGACTCACCATCATGCCTAAGTGACTCCCTGACTAATGGTATAGACTCACCACCGTACCTCAGTGACTCCCTAACTAATGGAATAGACTCGCAATCATGCGTCAGTGACTCCCTAACTAATGGAATAGACTTGCAATCATGCGTCAGCGACTCCCTGACTTATGATAAAGACTTTCAAGCAAGCCTTAATTTCCAGATATAAACCTTTCATATATTGTTGTAGAATTGACTTACAGCCTAAAGGACATATTAAGTTGAGCTGTTTCAGCCAAACCAATAGACACAGCTGTGACCTTGTTTCTAAATGCTCAGATCTGTGGAGACTGCCTTCAGACTAACAACAGTAAATAGATTTCTATAGCTATTATTTCCAGTCTTCTCTTGAGAGCTTTTATAGATGGTCATTTTCTAAAGGACCTCCAGACAAAAGACTACATATCCATAATATAGTTTATACTTGACTTAGATTTTATCTAAATGTAACGAGGTAAAATTCAATTTTCAATGAAGAGGTTTAAATAAGGTAAAAGGTTCGAGTCTAAATCCGACTTCATTGAATTTTAATCACAGAAACACCATTGTTGATGTAATCGTTGTATATTCCATCTTTATTTTTGATACAAGTTCTGCAAGGTATGGGTTTCTTTTCAGAAATAATTATTTAAGCTATTGTCATCCTAGTAAAAGAATTTCTATTTATTTTTAAAGTTTTTGGCAGTGAAATTGGGAACTTTAATGCACACATTTAAGGTAGACAGTTCCAGCACTTTTTGTTGTATTGGTAACAAAGAAGAGTTCTAATTTGTTTCGAAGGTTTCTGAATTGGAGTAGCTTGTCCATTTTAGTAACTTAAAAGGAAATTAATACATTCATTTTACAAAAATATCTCACAACTGACATTAAGCAGGTAGCTTCTCAACTACACTACCATTCATGAGGTGTTCTGTTGATACTTCTCTACAACTAGTTGGGATCATTTAAAACATTTATTGTCATCTGTACATGTATACTGTGAAAAATAAATGGGACTTGCTACCTTAATCCGATATATAAAACATAACCAGTAAAATAGGAACATTAATGGAATTACATGGTTTTGGGAAGGGATTTACATATTGGTCAAATAACTACATAAAATCGACCAATCAGAGATAGTTTTATAGCATATGGCTAATCAAACATATTGATCATGTCTAGTGAACTTGTCAAGTGTGCCTTTATTAACATGTCTTATTTGGTTGTCTTTACAGAAGCAGCTGGGTTCGCGGAAACAACGATGACATGTAACGGAGTGATGTTCAAAGACTGTAGCCCCACGTTCTGTATAAGTCGGCAAGGTATTATCAACATCAACAAAACCAGCTCTGTGTTCAGCTTCAGGCGAAAAAACAAGTTCACAAAGATGGCTGAGCACTTTGAGTACAATCATATTCCTGCTCATCTGTCGTCAATCCAGAACTTTCACGTAAAGAGCGTGGTGTGCTACCATGACACCACGGTTATACTTCACCTGGTGCGGAACATGATGACCCAGTTTGGGGTCATAGACCTAGGTATAAACAAATTTATGGGTATATTCGGTAAAAAGACTGCTGAATTTGTGAATGAGGCAGTTCGGGGCCAGATCAGCCCTGATGGCTCCCTATGTCTCATCAAAATACCCAAGCTAAGTGACAATAACAGTGCCTTTGTCTTCCAGCTTTACTGCCTCAAGACAAGGGAGCTAGTGCGTGAGCTTGCCCTGCCCTTTCATCACAGCCTATTCGCCTTTGACCCCCGTTTCACCTCCAGTCGTTTTGCAGCCACCAGCTTCGTTACTGGAGAGGACAACAGCCTGAGTCTGATTCACACAGACTCTTGGGAGGTAATAAGCACCAACACACGTGTGGATGACATGCGACTAAGTCTACACCCAACGCTTAAAGACCTTTTCTACTCTAAAGATGGGTATCTCATCTTTGCTGTTATGGTAACTGCTGGCTGTCACTGCAGGGAGAAGAAACTTCGTCGACATCAACCCATCGAAATTAGCATCTACATCTTCAATGCAGATACGGCGCAAACCTTGCACTGTGTGCAGTACAACAGATATACATGTGGCCAACACTCATGCCCAACTAACTTCATGCCACTCTTCTCGAACTGTGGCAGTCGTATGGCCATCGTCCTCAATGAAATGGAAACTCCCATCGACCATCTACAAATCTACAAACTGCCAACTGCTGGGAGCCTACAGAACCGCAGTCGAATCCGCATCCTGCAGACGTTTGCTCCAGAGATCCTCCCCAAACTGCCCCTCCCTGCTCGTATGGTCCAGTACCTACAGTTCCAACCAGAATTCGCCTAATCCTCAATGCTATTACTGTTTAGGGACAGAGCAGTCTTTCAGTTAATGATTTAGATCTGATCCTCAACATGGTCAATCTGGAAATGTTAGAACTTGCCCGGTAGTTGATACTTCAGGTCAAACTTCAGTGTGATCCTAGTCCGCTTCAAATAAACGAGAAACTACAATCAGATACAACGCCTGCAAAGTTGGAGGTTATCTGTGATCTGCAACATTTCGGAAAAAGGAAGAAGTGTATGATTCGTAATATAACAATTCATGCTGTGAAGATCATCTAGTTCTTGTCCGTGTCCAGTGAAGCTAAGAGCACTTGTGATACAAAGCTCCATCCTTTACCAAAGGAACACCCGAAATGAGTATGCACCAGATCTTTACTTACATTTAATTAAGAAATTTTACACATTTTGACTCTTAAGAGTTAGCAAAAAAACAAATCATGCAGCAAATATATTCGCTTTTACAGTATGTAAGATATGAGGTTCAGTAAAACTATTTTTGTCTCATCACCTGAACACAGACAACAGAAGTTATGCCTGCAGAAAATTATTAAGGCTACTTTTGCTCTTTGCAGTGTACCAAATATGAAATGTAACGAAAAAAACTTTGATTTACAGAAAAGGGCTTTGTGCTAGTGCCATCACTGGGTTTTAGTGATAATGATTTGGAACATTTACTAAATTCACTATTTTTTATTGGAAAAACAACCCAAAGAATGAAAAGTATTTTGAAAGGCAAAGTTTTATAAGCCTACACAAGTCGGATGTCGTCATTTTACTGTGAATGTTAACTATGTAAAGTATAGGCCGTTATGTGGCTTACGTATAGAATGTAGAGTTGTTGATGCTGTGGACCAGCCCATGTAATGGCTGGTGTTCTACATGTGTGTGGGGGCTGTACAATCATCACAGTATAATCTAGTCAGTCATTGGTACAACTACATGCTCACCCTAGATAGAAGCTCACCCTCATCCTCATACAAGTGAACTTGGTGCTTGTAGTGATAGTATACCCTTAAGTGTACTCGGGAGTGAGAGAGAGATGGCACAGGCCAGCGTTAAATGGATGTCCACCTAGTTTAGGTTTTGGTTACGTGTTTATCGTTGTCTTTCACTGACTGAGGTTTGCGTTCAGTCAACACAAGGGGGTAAGTTCCCTCTATTCTCCCTCTTGGAGATCCCTGGGGTCAGATAGGCGTGGTCCTCTGGCCGTGTGGTCCAAAGATCCATGTCTACCGTAAGTTTGTGTGGTCCCCGTGGTACACCTATGCTAGTGTTGGATGGAGACAGATATACATACCCTGTATCTTCAGTTAATGAAGATAAGCTTTTGTTGGATATAAATAGCTTTGTAGCAGTAATTGAACCAATGTCTGTTAAATGTTCAACTTTTTCTGATAAAATCAAAATTTCAAAAACCATGGGGTCCAAATTTGGCAGAAGGGGACCCTTATTTTGCAAAAAGGTTTCTGCCTCTGTTTGTTCCTCTCAATATATGCAAAACTTTAATGGGGATGATTTTAAATGAAGATCCAACATTTTGCTCTATATCTTTCTCATTATATGGAGTTCTTTTGGCAATAGTATCTGTTTTAAAAAGTATTACAATTGCAATAATAATTGATCAGCATAAGGGGTTGGAATGTTTAAATTCAGGCACGTTTTTGCCAACTTGATTAACAGGTTCATTTAAATAGAGGAAAGTAGTGGTATAGAGGTAAAATCTTTCTATTGTTTTTTGACAAGCTATGTCAATATGGATACATAGAGTTACATAGATTTACAAGTGTCCACTTTGTGATATGACGAGGGTGGTGTTCGGGGGACATCCATTTGATGTAGGCCTGGTGGGGGAGAATTTATTTTTGATAATTTTTGATCCTATTGAACAACTTGTGTTGTCATTAGCTTAATTTCTGATAAAGAAAAAATATCACACTTATTGATACAAATCTTGAAATTTAATTAAGAATTATTGTGATCATGGTCCAGTTAAATTCATAGCCTGGTTCCTGTAAATATTTAGAAGATATTAACACAAATGTAACAATCTCTTACTAAGAGTGCAAGTTTGGAGAGAAGCTGATCCTCTAAAGGGAAAGTCAGAATTTTATTGTGTAATTAAGCTACCAGAGATTATTACTATTGAACCCTGGCAATACAAATTATAAAAATTGAATTTTTGAATTAATGATTGTGTGTAGCTACAAAAGCTTATGTACATAGGATCTTTTATGATTATTCATTCAAATTATGTGGTTAACAAAAACTATAAATAGGTATTGTTTATAAAAAAGGTAATACATTCAGCATTTATAGAAAAAAGTATATGTCTTATTTAGCGGAAGTATTTTAAGATAAATCATTTTTAAAATCAACTGTATTATATAAAAAGAAAAGAGTTGTGTTAAGAATATATGTTACAATCAATTATGAAGACTGCAACGTGATGTGACCCACCATGACAAAACTGACTCCAGCATGAAACGAAAATAGTCAAACCTGCTCATGCCAGCTGTTTTATTGACTACCTGTGTTAAGAGACCACTTTAATTGTTTCCCATTGTAGTGATTTTATTGTGAACTGAACCTGTATTCAGAGACCACCTGTGTTAAGAGACCACTTTTTGGACTTCCCATGGGTGGTCTCTTGATACATGTTTAAATGTATGTTCCTTATAGGCAGTGAATTATTTGATATATCTGTATGAGATGTCAAGATTTTATAAGCCCTTCTATAACTGGCCTTCTTTGTGTTTGGAGATTTGGGGGTTGAATTAGACTCGAAACATAGCACAATGCATCTTATAACTAGTGTTTAACCCTTTCACCCCTATGTAACTTTAATTAACCCTTCCATGCATTGATCTGGATAAGTCCATTATGGTATACGGTAGTGAAATGGCTAGTACCTTATATTTATATTAATCAGGATCCTGGATGAATATGTTTTAATTGTGTCCATTCATCTGTTTTGTGTTAAGATAGAAAAAAAACACCATTTGAGGTAATCAAGCGATCATAAATGTTCTTAAAAAAAAACTCTGATTTCAGATTTCATGGTGGGTCACAAAATGTTGGAAACTGTTGACAAATCATGAATGTGTAGCCGAGTGTTAGAATCAATTGTTACTGCTCTGAGATTTGTTGTGTGCTTTATAATCAAACCTGTTTAAAACTGTAATTCAGTGAAGTATTGTATTCCCAACATACAAAAAGGCTTTGTGATATACTATAGAACCAAGATGTGATGCAACTTCCCTTATATCCTAGCTTCAATCATTTCATGATTTAGTTATCATTAAAACCATGTCTCGAAGGAAATGGTATGGAAGGTAATTAAGGTATTATATAACTAACTAGTCAAATCATTCACCCCTACATATTTAAACTGGACTTGCCCAGTCTTTGATTTGGTAGGGTTCAAGTGTGATTTTAGGGGTGAATGGGTTAATATTTAGTGATGTTTTCCATCTAGTTAGATTCAATAACACTGAGGTTTATTTAGACAGATTTTGTTTTTGGGTAGCAAAGAATTAGAGGGACCTTGTTTAACGATATATTAATTGCTGGTCACCTGGTGCCAAATCTTGTGTACATTGTTGTGTAGAAGTTTGTTATTTATTAAATCTGTTAATCTGTAGATTGAGATACTTTCTGTATACTAATGTCACTTACATAATCACCACACTCCTTTGACACACTATATTAAATTCCTTCACAAATAGATAAGAACCACAAGTATTCTACTGTTGAGTGTTAAGGACCACCACCACTTTCAATATTTTCTTCAAAATATCCCTGGTAGTTTGTCAGCATACTACTAGCATGAACAACATGAAAACCATTTAAAACCAGGATTATTTTATTTTAGCCTTGATTTGAAGGAATTTGTAAAATGTTGAAGATGAATGTCAATTTTCCAGGTATTATTCTTTGTTGATTTTAGAATAGTAAAGAGGAAATGATATCTGTATGTGGTTCTAAGTCAGAAATAACAGCATTTGGAAGTTATACTCTTAGAAAGATGTTTTTAAGAGACTGTTACTTACTACAGTAAGGTAGGTAAGGAGATTTTAGTTGTTCCGTTGGTGCCTAGAACTGGGAGGTTGATGAGATTGATTCTTGAGATTCTCAAAATCATTGGTGTTTAGAGAAATAGGTACGGTACCAGTCCCATGTAGCTGTGGTACTGGTAATTTAAGTAACATTTACTGAAATAGTGCTGCAGTATTACTATTACTATGACATTTAGGGATTTCGGTAGTCAAATAAGATTTTGCCTGAAATATGGAAGGTTTCAACATCATATCAAATAGACATTTCCTAACAAACCCCATAGTCAAAGCTCATTTTGGGGAGTCAAAAAGATATACTGTCAAGGGTCTACTGAAAGCCCTGCTAAAGAAGTACTGAAAGTTGAATGAAGTAGTACTGATAGTGAACTGAAGTGGTACTGAAATTTTGCACTAAACTTAATTGGGCATAGTATTTATCATTAGTGTATTGAAGTTGCACTATGAGTATACAGTGAAGCGGTACTGCCAGTAGTGGTGAAGTACCGGTGATGAATGCACTCTGTTGACCTTTAGTTAGAGTTATAGTGGTGATCTGTTGGTTGGACGTATATATATATATCTACAGATATTATATTCTTTACTAATCAAACTTGTGAGGTGCTGATTGTTAACTGTTGACCATTGTCATGGAGAACACGACTCCACTTTCCTCTTCCCATCATATTATCTCACTGACCACTTGCAGGTCACTAAATTCAGCAATGACCAATCTGTTAGTGATGGACAGCTGACCACTGTAGAGTATTTAATTATCTCCCTGTGATAGGATTATAACACTTATTGCCTCTCTCATTCATAGAAAGCACTTGTTATGATAGATAATCACCCGATGTGTTAATTGATAGTGACACACTGCATGGAGTATTTTCAATAAAACACCATTCCAATACGTGTACAATCTATAAGAGTACATCAGAACCAATCTAATGTCACGGTGAGGAAGTCTAAGATATGAGTAGTCTACACTGTTATAAATAAAAACCATCTAGTCGTTTAACACTAGTCATTTACCACCTGTCCCTAGGTGATGTCAAATGTCAATTTGTTCATTAATGTCACAAGTCTTTATCGTCTAGTGTCCAACCATTTTTTCTTACCTGACTAAGAGCAAATTTATATTTAGGTTTATTTTTTGAAAAAAAATCCTTAGTCTGTAATGAAATCTAAACGTCTATAATGAAACCTTAACACCACTTGGAACTGAATAACCATCTAAAGACAAAAGACTTAAAAGTACTTTTATATTTCAGGATATTTAAAAAATAAATTCACTATGAACATTACTATGTATAAGATGCAAAGCATTTAAATTACAATATATTGTCATAAACATAATATACATTGGCAAAAATTTTAATAATACTTTGCACTTGTGTATCACTGTGCATTCTATAATGGGTAAATATATTGACATCTTTGTTTGGTTAGGGTATCAATTATGGACATCTGTTGGAGGTGATTATGTGGTTATATGGACCCGAGAAAGTGATATTGACCAAGATGAACTTGAGGTTAATATCACTTTCTCATGTGCATAGAACCAAATATTCACTAAAAATAAAAGTATTTGATGATTATATTAGATGCTAAATAATGTTTTCATCATTAAAAGAGATAGAACGTATGAAAATTGTACAAAGTAAAGTACTGCATTCGGCAGAAAGCATTGTGTAGGTACAATCAAAATGATGTGATAAAATGAATATTGATCTGCTGCTTCTAAAAATAGTAAGACAGAGTCAATATCACAAATCACCAATCGCGATGTGAATATGACCCAACTAATGAGGATGTAGGAAAAAAGTGTCATCTAATATTGCGAAAAAAGTTCAAAGGTCATTGACTGACGAGGTCATTTGAACAAATCTAGATTTTATATTTTATTGTAAGATATTGATATTTCCAATTTAGCATTGATATTTGAATTGATACAAAGTATTGTGATATGTGGATACTAAGATATATTGCTTCAGCTGTGCTATTTATCTCGTAATTGTCTCTATCCAGCTTATACAGTGGGAGACTCTGTATAGTAGGGGCTACACATTAAAAAAATAATCATGTTTTTCCATGATAACCACCTTAAAAAATGGTTAGTGCTAAATTTTATTAAACAATATTATTTAGAATATATTTTACAACAGTTATAATCCATTACGGCTAGTGCTAGGGCATGCTATTTTGCAAAGAAACAATAACCAAGTGTACCAGTTGCCTACAATCAACCAGCTTCAGTTGTTACGTTACCTACTTACTATGTACAGAGAGTAATGTATTATCTCTAATTGTTATCTATCAAATCTGTCTCTGATCTATTTTTGTCATACAATGATCATGTCATTACATCACATCATACCATCACATGACTTTTCTATAAATAGCACATTATATTATTACTCTTGACTCTGGTTAGCCTGATAGGCTGAGTTTTTGACGGTGACGTCATAAATGTGTCACGTCTTGTGTACCCAATACATGGCTCAAATTCAGCACCTGTTAATGTCAACTCATTTACCCCTAACGACACATTTGAACTCTCCCAATTCAAAGTTTGGAAAAATGCATTAGGAAATTTCAGGGGTGAATAAGTTAACATAATTATGAATTGTTCATTTTATTTTTGAAATTCATAAAATCTAATTTCATGATTACAATACTGTTTTGAAAGAATTGAAAATACTGACTGATATATTTTAATCTGTCATATGAGGAGAAAAAAAATCATATACATGTACATTAGGGCATTCGTTAATCTAATTATCACTTACCAGGTTAGACCTTGTGACATGTTGAATTGTATAATATTCTCTATATCATTGTCTATATTTGTATCATTAATTTCTTATTATACATGTAAACTATATTCATTATAATAGCCACCCTTCCCTTATGCCTCAGTTTTTAAACAAAAGATATCTTATAAGAATTGTTCCTGTTTTGGATTTGGTTTCTAGAATATTTATCTTGGAATGTTTACATTCACTTTCCAGTATCAATGCAGGAACTCAACATCTGTTTCTAAATATTATAATGAACACGTATCTCTGTTTGGTAATTATATATATAAAAATCCACAATAGAGAGGTCATATGGTGTTTATTTATATCATGAATTTCTAAACTGGTCATTAATCCTGGCAGATACTTTTGCAATTAAGTTATGAGACCATTTTGATTATTTAAATATTGATCAAAACAGAATTCAAAAAAAAAAAAAAACTTTTTAAGAAAACAAAAGAGAACAGCAAGCTTATTCTATCATCCAAATATTTATCAAAACAATCTTTAGTAAAAACAGCAATTGTGTTCTACTGCTGTCGTAAATTTGTCAACATTTGAGGCCTGTATTGCATTGAACTACATAATGTTCTACATTGAACTCAGTATTATCTATCTTGCGTGTTATGTCAAGTGGGTTTGTTTGATTACTAACTGTTTACTAACCATGATTAATAGCCTAGGATGTATATCTGTATGTTTATCATGTATATTTATACTGATGATAATGATAATTATATTACAGGTGAAATCAGCTGCAAGGATAAGACAAATTGTCAAGCATGACATAGCTTCCGTTTAATGATAAATACTTTTTACTTGTTTGTGAAATCAACCCTTAGAGTAAACGTATTGTTTAACTGTATGTAAAAATCTCATTAATCAAAACAGGACTGTTGATAAAAAACTGAACAGCAAAATCACAAGATATATTATCAAAGAACATTCACAAAAAAGGAATTGAAATGTTTATGTTTATGTAGAAAATTGTTTATTAACTACCTGACCAGTACTTGATTTAAGTGAAGGTGATTTATGCAGAATTAATCATAGATGGCATCATGAGTTCTTTTATCTGTGTTGTGGAAGGATACAGATTGTGTTTGCCAGGTACATATCTATTTCCCTGTATAAGGATACAGATTGTGTTTGCCAGGTACATATCTATTTCCCTGTATAAGGATACAGATTGTGTTATCACTTATATTATAAAACAGATGTTTGGGATGTGATAGACATGTAATATGATACACAGATATGAAATTGTGATAGGATGATAATCAATACAGGAGGGTTGGGGCACAGTCAGTGTTAACTACCTTTATTGCAGAACATTATATCATACAATAAATATCACCCTTTTAGGACTTCATTGGGCATGATATGAATAGCCAAGTCATTACATGTATGATTATTGAATAAACCGCGCACAAACTAAAATAATATCAAAACAAATTAGGAATTTAATTTTGACATTTTATGAAGAAAGGGCATTGATTCGTTAAACTTTGAATTATATACAGCAATTACGATTTACAAGATTGTTTTTAAATGTTATGATTGTCGGAGGTGTCTATAATATAAAACATTGTTTACTGAAGTAAAAGAAATTGTAGAGTACTAGAAGTAATATTGAATTAGTAAAATAGTATAATTAACTCTTTACCCTGCCAAAGTTTGTTCGGTAAGATTAACATGATATATAGAGGGGTGTGGTGCTACAGTAAGAAACAAGTACGAAGAAAATGTTAAAATCAATCAAAGATACCTTGAAGTATATTTCATGTAATCAAATTTACATATTAAATGAGGAGCTTTTATATAGAAAGTTTATATTTCATTTCACAAATAACTTTGCATCTGTCATATAAAATAAACAGTTTCTGTATGATTTACTAACAAAGTTTGATCATGGTAGGGAGGGAGCATTGTTGAAATAAAATAGAGCTGATTTGAAGAAAAAAGGATGGTCTTGTTTTCCAACCATTGCTAGTAGCTTCTATGTTAAATCTATGGAGGAATTTTTATTTTTTCACTGAATTGTAAAAAATATCAAACAAAGAAAAAAATAGAAAAAAATGTCTCGAAAGGAATTCTTTATCTCAGTTTTATTAGAAGATAATTAACAGAATAAGAAAATGATATCATCAAATGATAGAAGTAATTACGACATTGTTTAATCTCAAAGTTAGATATTTTATAGTCAGTTATTTACAGAATGCTGATCAACCATTATTTTCAGAAAAAACATGTTTACCAACAGGCTGTTTACATTTCCCTGGCAGTCCGCCACTGATACAAATGGGTAAGGTCTATTTTAAGTTCAGATTTATCTTAATGACTTATGTATCTTTTTAGATATTTCTTGCGATGACGCGCAGTTACATTCCAGACTGCAATGCATGCGTGTTTGGTTGGGAATGCACAATAGTGAAGCTAGGTCTCGGCTGTGGTTACTGATACATGTAAACCTCCGTTTTTAGCCTGTCAGATATTTAATCTCAAACATACTGCAGTGTTTAGTGTATCGCTTTTTATTACTTGGCTGAGAATCATTTCTTTTCCAATATTACACAGTTCTTAAGACAACAGTTCCCATTAATTGCCAGAAAGATAGAGGTTCAAATTTGATGTAGTATGCAGTTATCAAAGACGCGTTATCTTTTTACGAATAGCTCTCATTCTGCCCTGACTTTTATGGCCAATTGTTACCTCCATCATTCTGAATTGTGGTTGCTAAAAATACTTCTTTCGTGTTTACCAATTTCAAACAGTTGTATATAAAATAAACCTTCCTTATTCTTTGTAGCATTCACCTTCAATCTACTAATCCTCCCCAGACTATAAAAAACCCTTCGCCCCTGAAATTTTATTATGAACTTACAGTCTTACATTCTAGTCGTGCCTGAGTGAAGGCATAACAAGGTATAAACAGGCTCATTATATATTTCTCGGCCTGCAGCGTTCTTAAACCTAAATCTGTGAATTATGCAGTTTTCATTTCCTGTACATGATTTACGATAAACAATCTGTCCTTGAAAGTCCTGAAGCTGTTCATATTAAAAATGTTCTGAACATTTTTTTTTCAACTACAATTTGTCTAATATCTCATTTAACTTTCCCATTTTCACGTTTCACCTCTTAAAGTTTTTATTAATAACTTCAGTTTCTGCTCGTTAAATTTCTCAGCCTGCAACTAAGATTAAGACTTCTCTTAACAATATCCATTTTCTATGTTAAAATATTATTATTATATTATAATATTGATCTCTTGGATGACCACAGGAGGAGATAAGCTAGTAGAAGAACGCAGCTACGATGTTTTACAATAATTTGGGTTGACAGCTAGTCTTCATTTTTGTTTTCTGGCATTGTCTTTAAAAATAAAATGTTATTTAAATCTCTGCAATATTCATCAAACCTTTCTCCTGATAAACTAATACATTGTTGTTACACTTTACCCTAAAAAAGAAAAAAATACATTTGAGTAAATAGTTATTAAAGTTATACATATTTAAAATGTAGGACGTTTTAATGCATGTCTAAAACCGATGCAGTGATAGAGAACAAGTCTGTTTTATGGGAAAACCAGAATAAGTTTATATTTAACGGTGAAATGCTGAGTCAATACTCCACATGTGGAAGTGATTATCACACCAAACAGCCTCTCTTCTCTCCTCAATCTTTTGTGCTTTTATTTTCTCTGACGATTGATATCATTGAAAACTTTCAGCGTCTGTTTGTTAAAGCTTCCACAGGGCTCTGTTAGGTTTTATATAGCGTCTGTATGTTAAAGCTTCCACAGGGCTCTGGTAGGTTTTATATAGCGTCTGTATGTTAAAGCCTCCACAGGGCTCTGTTAGGTTTTATATAGCATCTGTATGTTAAAGCTTCCACAGGGCTCTATTAGGTTTTATATAACGTCTGTATGTTAAAGCTTCCGCAGGGCTCTGTTAGGTTTTATATAACGTCTGTATCTTAAAGCTTCCACAGGGCTCTGTTCGGTTTTATATAGCGTCTGTATGTTAAAGCCTCCACAGGGCTCTGTTAGGTTTTATATAGCGTCAGTATGTTAAAGCTTCCACAGGGCTCTGTTCGGTTTTATATAACGTCTGTATGTTAAAGCTTCCGCAGGGCTCTGTTAGGTTTTATATAGCGTCAGTATGTTAAAGCTTCCACAGGGCTCTGTTAGTTTTTATATAGCGTCTGTATGTTCAAGCTTCCACAGGGCTCTGTTAGGTTTTATACAGCGTCTGTATGTTAAAGCTTTCCCAGGGCTCTGTTAGGTTTTATATAGCGTCAGTATGTTAAAGCTTCCACAGGGCTCTGTTCGGTTTTATATAGCGTCTGTATGTTAAAGCTTCCGCAGGGCTCTGTTAGGTTTTATATAGCGTCAGTATGTTAAAGCTTCCACAGGGCTCTGTTAGTTTTTATATAGCGTCTGTATGTTCAAGCTTCCACAGGGCTCTGTTTGGTTTTATATAACGTCTGTATGTTAAAGCTTCCGCAGGGCTCTGTTAGGTTTTATATAACGTCTGTATCTTAAAGCTTCCACAGGGCTCTGTTAGGTTTTATATAGCGTCTATGTAGAAAAATAGAAAATAGAAATTTTGAAAGATTTATATTTTTTTCTTCTGAAATGAATTCTTTTGTTAAAAAAATCCATATCAAATTCAGAACAAGTAGCTAGGTAATTAATGAATTAGTACTACAGTTTATATAACATGGTACAGTTTAGATATAAGCCACATATTCACTTGTACTTTTTACATTTGATCTAATGCCTGGACTGCAATCATGAAAATACATCATGTTATTTTCAGGTTGATGTGGTATTTATAACGGTGTTGAGAGCAGAGGTCAGAAGAAGTTTTTAGATATTTTGCGGAATAAACAGTGTTAATCTTTCAAAAGAAATTAATCAAGTGCTTAAAATATGTTTTTTACGCATAACGAGATTTTTTATAACAGCTAATATGCTCCTGTGTTTGGTTTATCTGTAGGCTGTGTGTGTAGCCTTTGTTCCCTGTCGGAGGACGTGTATTATAAACAATGGTATCATACTAAGTGTTGTTCCGTCAGAACTATATCAAAAGTCAATAATCTATGCTTGTACCCAAATAATACATAAACGAGGCTGCTCAGCCTGAATTATACATAACTATATACGACAATCTGGTGTGACTATATTGTTTGATCATCTGCCTTGAACTTGTTCCAGATTTCCCTGTTGAAAAGTAACCCTGTGAATTATCATACTTGTAAAATACTGCTTTCATCTGCACTTATTTTCTCCTCACAAACTTCCCGGTATCCTCAAAGTCTACCTCTTGTTTTAGTTCTAGATATTACCACTCCTAGATCTAACAGCTTGTTAGGCCTCTGTTAATGTAGATATTTCCACATTGTATTTAATGTACTCATACATGTACTCATAAAATGTTTCGATATTAGCTCAGTTTGGCACTGTGATATACTAAAAAGATTAAGTCGAGAGCAAGATACAAATTGCATTAAGAAATTAAGGATGAAGAATATGTGTGCTTATATCGATTATTGGAATTTGAAAATCATAATTCAATATCATGCGTAGTGTTCATAGGTGTATGACTCATATCACTATATACATACGTAACTCATTGTGTTATAATTATCATAAAGCTCATAAACACAACATAAAAAAAAAAAAAAATTTTGCCCGAAAAGCATCGCACCTAATCCCCAGCCATTTGCTTTAAGCAATCTATGGAGTCTATAGTACGCCTACAAACATCGTCAAAAGTTTGAAATGAAAACACAAATCAAAACGAGCCAGCTAGGTAACGTTATGTAAGGATATTTTCAACGAATTCTCACTTTACCCCACTCTCCGCATGATCCCCTCCCCATCCACCAACACACGCACCTACACCACACAACCATACTGGGCACCTCGCTAGTTAATATACTGTAAATGTGTACATCCCCGGTATATCTTAACTTTGTCTGTTGTGTTATAACAACATATATATGTGTATATATATAACAATATCCTACTTACGCTGTCTGTGTGGTAAATCTGTATGCCTTCTTTCAATCAGCACTTCCAGCTTCTCTCTGTCGGTTGAAGAGTAAATGCCAAATTATGTACATAATTATACACATAAGGTTATCATCTTATGAAATTGGTTTGTCAAAATAATCATATTTATTTGCAATATTTAAGCCAGTCATTTTATTTTAATTTCTATATGTTAATCAACCATTGCTGCTCACTGTTTTACATTTCAATCTTCATTTTAATTGTTTATGGTGATTACGCTGTTGAGTTATGTAATCTGCGCATCGAGTATTACAAAGATATTTTCCCTCGGGATCAATCAGTGCTACGTGTATATATACTGTTATATTGTATGTTACTCTCAGTCGTAATCCCGAGTCAACTAGTTTACTCAAAAATAAAAGGTTATGCTTAAGCGGTATCCTGTGTTGTTCTTGTATGTGATCATGTGATGTTGTCCTGACAGACCATATGTTATGTAAGTTGGAGTCTTCCTTCTCCCTATAGAAAAGTATTAGAGAAACATTTAGTCGTTTCATTTTGAAAGAAAGATAAGAAAAAAAAGATAAAAAAATAATGCGTATTAAATTTATGAAAAAAAGATTAAAAAAAAAAATAATGCGTATTAAATTTGTTGTGGTATTGAGCAGAATCCTGATAATGACTTGATTGTATATAAAGCTCAATGGTATTCACCACATCAACGGTAATTAGCCCTGTGATCACGATTCAAACTACGGTTTTCCTTTTAGTATGTGAAAGAAATATGAATGATTTATTTTGCAAGCTAAGCAAACATGATACGCATGTAGCTGGTGCCGGTTTGAAACTACCCGATATAGATCACGACCTCGGAAACCTTCAGTAGCAATGTCCCAACAAATGGTCTCTACAATAACATCTTCAGACGACCTTAGTGTAAAGAAAAGTATTATTTCCAGTCAAAGTTTTCCACAATGAGTCCTGGGGTAAACATACCCGATTTGTCCCTAATTATTATTTATACTCGCAATCACTGTGATGATGAAGCATGATATTTTTGTTGATATAAAGTTGACACCGAACACATGTCCGGCCAACTACGCACACATTTATATCTGGAACTAGGCAGCTCTTCCTCGCTTCAAAAAGAAATATGGGCAGTCGGATCCTAACCGGACTCAATCTGTAGAACGAGCGACGTCGACGTCTTTGACGTGAACTACAGGTAGAAAACATATATTGCCATGGATATCATGAACAAAACACCATTACAAAATTTATTAAATAATGACAACCTATTGAGCGTCTAACGCTTGGATAGATACAAATGTACCTACAGCCGTCATCTATTCAATCTTAACGGACAATGTCTATGAAAAGGTAGAGAATGCAGAACAGAAATACACAAGATGTTATACATTATTAGCCAAAATGAACAGGACAAACAATGTAGTGAGTCAGGACATGGTCAATTAAAAACACTATTCCAGTCCCATATTAGAATAATCTTAAGTAATACGAAGGAAAGAAACATCTGTTTGGAAATCTTATTTGATGCAGAAAGGCAAAACATGTAAACCTTTTACTGCGCAGTATGGTCAAACGGTCGATTTAGGACTCATCAGAGGAAATAAAACGCCAAAAGGAATGAAAAATCTATGCTTAAAGTGTTCCGAATCAAATGAACAATGGAGCGAAAAGGGGAATTTACCCATACAACCCTTTTGTAACGTTACAAAACAACAAAGTCAAAAAGAGCAGAGATGGTTGGGCGGATGAGATATCAATACTATATATAACGCAGTCATCATGAACGATGAACGTAGCACACACGTGATCCACCTATAGAATTTGATTTCAATGCATCAAACAGCTGCTTCGTCCATCTAGGACTCAGCGCTTATTTTAAGGGCCAAAAAGTTGGTAATCCAAAATTGTCTAAACTACTGTGGGAAAGAAAAGGAGCATGAAACCCCAAATACCCACCTCTCTCACCGCGAACGTAGTCTGTACCCTCTTATACAGGACATCGTCATTGGCAACATAAGCGTTTAGAACTCAAACTCAAGGAAACTGACTCGGTTAGCCAAGACCGCTGAAAGATTTATCCGACGTCATTACTCATGGCCGGCCATTCAAGGATCTCCCATCAAATAAACGCAACAGGCCTGGATGGAACAGCGTAGAGGATTACAATATGGGAGGAAACCGGAGTACCTGGAGAAAACCACGTGGTAGGGCAGTTGACGCCTTAACCTTTTCACGTCCAATCGGGGAATCGAACCATAGTGAAAGGCAAGTACGCCATCCACTGCACCACCCGCGAGCGTCTTCCATTGGCACCAGTCGTAAATAAAATAAGCTATATTTCTGAAGTACTTTCTGTTTTAGTGGTGACTGATCGAATCTTTAAAAGAGAACTAAATAATAGTTATCACAGACTTGACGGTCATTTTGATTACTCGATGTGACGTCACCAAAAACAAAAGACGTTGTTTCATTCCGAGATTATTACATCGATCGGACAAACATACTAAGAATTCACGATAGTGATTTGATAACCCTTTTCATTTTATTTAAGGAGCAATTTACATGGCAGAATTTTTAAAAGTCGTTTTTGATCTGGTTATCATTTTCGTTTCATTTATGATACCAAACAGATCCTGAACTTAACGTACAATACCATTTACACTAGATGTGTAATGGCAGGTATCACAATTTCTATTGGTAACACCTGCTGATTGTTTCGTCATAATAAAACAGTGACCAACGTCATTATGATTTTTTGATAGTGAAAACAATCCTTTTGAAAAAGAGACCTAGCTATCGCCACGAATGTAATTTATTATTTTTCGATTACAATGAAGAAATGGATCGTGCACAGTCCTGTTAACATAGGTACTTAAGGTATTATGAGGCTATTTTTACAATGAGAGTTTTATTGAATATTTATATATAAACATACGGCGTCTCAAAAGGAGTTTTATATGTATTAGCATGTTATTCTAACGGAGCTTTGCTGTGTTCGTATACACTAGTAATACTTGTCGGATCCGGCCCCTGGTAAAGACGGAAATGACGCGTTGGAGAGAGGAACTTGGTAACGGATTTATAATCTCCCTTGCGTCAATGCATAAAATCTACTATAAACCAATACAATAAAGATGGTTTATGTATTGTCCGCTGAGTATTGATATGTTAAGATTTACAAGGTATAGATTGATATTTTGTAGTACGAGTCATGTATATTTATTTCATGTTTTTTGGGGGGTTTTTGTTTTTGCTTTTTGTGTTTACTCATTCACCCCTGAAGATACTTTTGAACTCTCATTATGACATATAAGGAGTTAAGTATCCATCCATTTCGGGGTTTGTTTTCTGTTTGATTCTTTTTCTTTTTATGAGAAATCTTTTTATGTCTATTGCCATAAGGAGAAAACTTTACCGAAACATCCGACTTATGTTGTCATTACCGTTGTTTGAACTTTCATTTGATATGAAAACCCCACGTTTCATTTTTTTAACTAGAAATTGTCACTCAGATTACTGAAGTGAAGCATTAAGTTTGTATGCTGGTTGCGTGTAGATTTCAATAATGTCTAACCTCAATCTGAAAATGTTACAGATCAAAACACAAATCAGTTCACACCTCCACGTAAATCTAGTCATAGCAACTGTCACGACGACTGTGTAAACGCCGATCAGTGCAGTACAATATGCCATTCCTCCTTTGTTACAGTTAAAAGCCGATTATTGGTGCAGCTGTCTGCCGTGGAAAATAAGCGAACATGGCGTTGTACACATGCAATACTGTATAATGTTACGTATTAATACGTGGAACTCTGCAGGTCATGACATTTTAAGATATTAAGTTTCAGACACACGATATTATCTGGTTTGTGTTTTGTGAAGCAAACTGTCGGTAACACATTTGTTACATGACGTAACGACAGCAGTTAGAGTAGTCTCTGGTGTTTACGGGAAATATTGCAAATAACAACAATCCAAAGCAACTTGTTGTAGAAATAACCACTGTATTCTTTATATAGTTGTGAGAATACCTAATAATATTGACATTAACGATATTAACGAGCACGTGATTAGCAAACACTTACTGTAAAAGTGGAAATTTCCACGGTGTGAACTTTCTAGCGTCCTTCACGTTGACTCAATTAGCGCGACAATATCCACAAGCGAATATTGAATTGATGGTTATAGAGATTATAGATATATAGGGTATATAGATGTCAGAACTATTTTTAACGCGAAAATTTCTACCCCGCTATCAGTTTAAAGAACCACAACACTAACATTTTCAATCGCGGCATTTTCCACTTTAATAGTATGTGAAACACACGAGATATTGTAATGAAAATACTACGATGGGTTACGTAAAATACGGTTCACTTGTTATGAAACACGACTATTTATGTACGAACGAAGAATTGTTTTGAAAAACATCAATTCTTGTTATATGAAATATGACTTACACCTTTTTGTACATACGCTTCACTGGTTATTTGTCTGATAAACGACCTAAATCAGGCATTGCAATCACCAATCTGACTGTTTTCGCTACAAATTAACATCCTCAAGTTCATGTGCTTACCCCAAATACGTCATTTCATTTGGATTATGCAGAAGGTTGCAAAAAATATTTATTTATTTATTTCTGCCGAAGACGCCAACCAGCACCTGAACAGAAACAGTGCCAACAACTTCAGGTGACGAACGTGTGGTTCAGCCCCAAACAGATGTCCGACCTTCCTATTAAAAAGAAGAAACCATGTCAAAGTTCCAAACATCATCCGTTAAACTAGTGAAGAACACCGGCTTACCCGCGTCTAGTTGCGGCGGAATGGCCTGATAATAAATTGGTCTATAGATATATAGACCAAAACCCAAAGTATTTTACATATAAAGTACAGATTCATCTTCTTCCTCACTATGTCGTATTGGCCTACAATATGACAATAAGAATCACCCACTACCAAATTATATAACAAAGTTTATTGTCTCTCTCTCTCTTCTTTTCATATGTAGTAACATAACGGCCTCTTCTACCTGTGAATATGTAGTAACATAACGTCCTCTTCTTCCTGTGAATAAGTAGTAACATAACGGCCTCTTCTACCTGTGAATATGTAGTAACATAACGGCCTCTTCTACCTGTGAATATGTAGTAACATAACGGCCTTTTCTACCTGTGAATATGTAGTAACATAACGGCCTCTTCTACCTGTGAATATGTAGTAAGTAAATGGCCTCTTCTACCTGTGAATATGTAGTTACATAACGGCCTCTTCTACCTGTGAATATGTTGTAACATAACGGCGTCTTCTACCTGTGAACATGTAGTAACATAACGGCCTCTTCTACCTGTGAATATGTTGTAACATAACGGCCTCTTCTACCTGTGAAGTTACATTACGCAATGTATATGCTACTCGGACCATTTGGTAAACAGTTATTCGTATATTTTGTTCAAATTATGTATGATTGTATCACAGTACTAATACATTTCTCATCCATTCTTAGAACATGCAATAAGTATATTCATTTCGTCCGCTCTGGGGAATGTCCGTGGTCAATATTTGTGATGTCATTGATTGGTGGACCAAACAGAGTTGATTGCCCGGTCCAAGGGCCATCACCGACGGGTGATACTGGTGTAGGATTGTCTCCTTTAGAACCGCGCCCTGTCGTCCTAACCACACAAGTTTATTTGCTGCATTATCCAATATCAGAAGCTGTCCATCTGGAGTGAAGCAAATATCCACTGGACCGAAATCCTCTTGTGGAATTTGGTCAGTAGGGAACTGGAATTTTATATTGAGTTCGCTGTCAAAAAGCGTGACCTTCAATGGCCGTTCCATCTCATACCCGTAGCTCGCCGCTATCTCCCTAGAGCATGGACTCTCCCGGATGACCCTAGGGTACACCACAGATGAGCGTCCACCCAGCCATTTGGTACGAAGGAGTTCCTTCCCAGTGTCATTACACTGAATGATATCGTTGGTGACGCCGATAAGAAAAGCCCCACTCTGTTGTGCACAAATACACAGAGGCAAAGACTTGGTTTTGAATCTTATCACCCTCGTCTTTTGTTCGATCTCCGTTACTGAGTGGTCTTCACAACAAATCCAAGCATACCCGGTAAGAGGTGAAACACAAACATCCATGATATTAGACATGACCCGAACCTTCCTGGTTTTTTCTCCTTTCTCGTTAACAAAAATGAGACGTCGGTCACTTATGTATGAGATGACGAACTTTCTTTTGTCGTAACTCAAGGACCGTATCCTGAATGTTGACTCTTCTGGGATATTTGCCATTATTTTTAGGTCAGGCGAAACGTTCTTTGGCGAATCCAGATGATGAAAATCAAAACTCGTTGAAGAATGACGCTTCGATGTTGTGACCCCTAGCGACTGTTGTTCAGAGTTATTGTTCTTTGCAGATTTCTTTGGGGCACGTCGTTCCGATTGAACTTTTCTTAGCTGATTTAATTCTACTCGTGGAACAACCAATGGAACCGATGATTCTATTTCTGGTTTGGTCCTTGGTGGTCTTGGAGGAGGGTCGTGTGCGCTTTCTCTTCTTTCAATTTTATTCTCTGCAAAGGATCCGAACTTTGGTCTAAGATCGTCCATTGCAAGGTCGGTAGAAGTGAATTTTGCCCGTCTAAAGGGAAGAAATCTAGGAAAATTTGGTGGAAGTGCCAACTCTTTGTAGTAGTTGATGATATCAGTTGCATCACCGTAGAGAAGAACAGACTCATTTTTGTCTTTCGTTAGGTAATGTAACTGTTTCTCAAGATCGTGTAGCGTTGTTCTGTAGTCAGTCACGTTAGCCTCGTTGTCGTCTAAGAGGTCCTGTATGCGTTGTAGTACCTTTTCTGCAACCTCGTCGACCATGACCTTGACCATTTCCCTTCGTAGTTTTACCTCGACTATTAAGTTTCTCAGATTGTCCGTCGTCTGATCGTAATCTACGTTGATGTCGTCTAATCTCTTAGCAACCGATTCTGCATCCGCTGAACGAGTGCTTACAAGCTCGGATATCTGTTCCTTTAATGACTTTGCCGTTTCTTGAACGCCGTTAAGTATATGTCCTCGGTGGACACTAGTTACACACAGACTGCACGCAAACATATCACCACAACCGGAACAGATGAAAACGATTTCTTCTCCTGGATGGGAAGGGCAGGAAACTATTTCCGGTGCTGAAGGGGTCGCCATCTCGGTACTGTTAGTGTAGTTGAAAACTGCAAGGAAAATAACATTGTGTTAAGCTTTGATATTCGACATCGCTGTATAAACACTTTGATCAACGTTTGTTTACTTTGTAAAACGGACTTTAATGAAATACTGAAAAACCAAAACTATATTGAAAGGGAAGGTTTCTTCTCTTACAGGAGACAGTGAAAAAACCTAACCTGATAATGGGAAAATGGTGTCACTTCCAAAACAAAAAATCGTTTAATAAAGAGGGGGTATCGACCTAATATCTACAAAAGTCATAGGGCAATGTCCTGAACATGAATTACACATACACGGGTAAGGATCATGTGATCTCGACTCTACAAGCGATGTGTCGCTCATATATTTGTAAGAGACAATATAGCATTATAACGGGGTTTTATAGAACAAGAGTGATCAATTTGTTGAAAGCTTGTCGCTCATATTGTAATTTGAAAATACTTGGTTTATAATTCGGAGCTTTAATTAACATAATTGACCGACATAATTTTCAAGACAGTATCAGTTTGTATGTAAAGGTACATGCACTTCTCGTTACACCTATATACACGTTGGTGTATATAGCGGTATTCAAGTAAAAGGGAACATAAAAATATACCATGGCGTAAAAGGATATTACAGCAAAGACATAGGAAACATAAAAGTAACAAGAATTACTTCAAGGACACCCACAATGGATTGCCCATAGAAGACAGCCCCTGTCCATAGAATTACGGTTTTCGTTACAACTTTTTATTCTCCTGTGTTGCTTTTATCCAACAACTTGCCTGTAATATTATATAAGCATATATATACCTGTGATTAATAGTTCGTCATTGCCCAATACCGGATAATCGTGTCTTCCTCATCTAGACAGGCTGGACTATAGTCCTGCTATCTATATGTGACGTCACTGACCTGATAAAGATAAAGATTAACTTATGAAAGCTTAACACAGTCCACTAGGTGTGTTCACCGGTCGATCACGAGCTCATTATTTACAAAATGTTTTATCTCTATTCAGTTTGTGATTTATATTTACGGGGTATTTTTTCTAGGTTAAGGGGACAAAATGCTTAATCAGCTTCGAAACAAGATCTGCCGGAAACACTTTAAGTCGTTGTGTCTCTAATTGTTTTTTGTGCTAAGGAGGCAATAATTTCCACGTCGTGGCAGTGGCGAATGTTTAGCTCACATGAACTGAAGGGCTAAGTGTCCGTAGTCTGTCGTTCGTTTTTAAGACTTTAAAAGACTTCATGTCCAGAACAGCTTAAGAAATTTGTCAAAGTTTGGTGTAATTTTGTGGATTTGATGTAATATAAATAAAGGTTGTGACTGTACTAGAGGGAAAATAGTGGTAACAAACTCTAGAAATTCAAAATAATCTAAGACATCTCCGGGTAAAAGGATTTTGATCTTTTATTGCATGGGAAATCCCTAAACCAAGGGAATATTATGTTCTAGAAAAGAGTGCTGTGGCCGCCTTGAGGGTAGGTGGGTTAGACATGCTAGATTGGAGGAAATACGGGTAAATATTTATTACACTTCTCCTTAGAGAAAAATTCGAGCCAAAATTGGCATGGAGCACCAGAAAGGCAATGAAACTCGATCTGTGGCATAAGCAAAGGATACTGTTACCCTGGGTGCAGAGGGGCAGACGCGGGAAGGAAAAGGGTTTATCTTACAATAACCAATCCTGTGGTTACGGTGAAAAAAATCAATGCGCCGTTGGAATCCAATATAACATGTAGAAAAAGAAAATATGTCAAATAGGGGGAAATGGGGACAAATCTTAAACAGACCACTCTGTAAATACAAGGGTAGGACATCATTTTATATTAAGTATTGACTCTCCCTGGAACAAGAAATTAAATATTGCATTAATAAAGAGTATGACTTGGCGACAAAGGGACTTGACCCGATAAAATAAATGAGAGCCAATCTTTAAAATACTACTCCCTAAGTGTCGATGTAGGGGTTTTAATCATAACTGTCATAGAAATACAACCTTAGGCAAGGAAATGCCTGGTTGATTTATAAAAGGCTTTTCCTACATGATAAAGAGGGGATGAACCAAGAGGGGGAGGGCTGCAAACTACATGTAGTTTAAAGACTGCTAGTTATGAAGTTTGAATGAAGAACTTTAAACTTAAATTGGCATGCCTCAGCAACATCAACGAGAATTCATTCAATCTATGGTGTAACAACAGCTATAGTTTCCCTAGGAGCAGAGGTGCTACACCCCTTCAGACCGGGGATTTAGAAAAGAATATACGTGATGTTATCCTTTGCATACTGTAAGAGGCAACTAATGCGGAAACCCTTGCAGAATTAGGGATTTGCTTTTGCGTCCTCTACTTCGAGACACACAAGCGACCAAATTCCATCTACTCATCCATTGCAACACTGTGTTTTTCTCTACTTTCTAACACCATTTCCATTTCCTTTTTTGTTTGTTTGCTTTTTGTTTTTTGATATTGATTTTTGCGCCTTCCTTTGCATTACCTAACCTTTGGCCTTGGTGTCGAACGTTCGTCCGAGCGAATATGGTAATGAGTTGTGTCCCCATGCCACAGGGACAAACCAAGGCCTTTAAACATAGCAGTCGTTGTTCTCTGCTAAGCGTTCAGCATTTCGAGTAAATGCTCCAACTGGTTACCCTGTCAGCGTAACGTGATCTGATGGAATGCTGTGTTGATTTCGATCGGCAATGTGTTACAGTGAGGTAGCACTCTAAAGTTGGCATTAGTTCCCCTCTGTAGCTATGAGTCAAGTACACCAACAAACCGCCCCAGCACCAATTACACGCATAAACGCATAATTCTCACAGAAAGAGGCACGACCTCGAAATGACAGCAGCTGTTAATAGGGCACTAAACATAATTAACCAAATGCTCTCCGATCAAGCATGTGGAATAATGAAGCAGCAAGTGCTGTACAAAATATACTTGTTTCACCTTGTTTTTAATAGTGGCAATACAATATTTTCCATGTAACTATATTTGTTCAAAATCTATAATAATTTTAGCCCCGAAGAAAATTGTTTTGATTTTTTTTATCTTGGTTGCAATAATCAATCATCGAAGGGAAGACACACTAAGTCGGTTAAACTGTGCAGAATCATCTGAAAACTTTACAGCTGGCAGAAACAATGTCAAGTTCCAATGTTTGTCGTCGTGTTATTATTTATTCAAACAGCGGGGTTTACTCATAACAAAAACAATTATACCTTCAGGTGGGTATCAGGTTTGTTTACAACAGGCGATCCAGTCTTTGAGTGCGCAGAATTACTCACATTCACATCGTAATCTATTGCTTCGGAAGGGCACAACCACTTTCTCATTATAGCCTATATAATGACTATGAATTCTAGCATGTAATAAATACATCTACTATTAACCAGCATGTACTGATTGAAAGTTCAACAAAATAATGAATCTAGAACGGTAGGAATTAAAATATGCGGGAAGTGTGTACTAGATAAACCTAAACACAGCATATCGCCAAAAATCAACTTTAGTGCATGCACGGGTCAATAGCTAATATGCAGATATACCTATTTCTGGCACGTTTTTCTACCTGGGTGAGAAATCGTGCAAAAATAACTGCGTTCGATACACGATTTCTAATCTGGGCAAGGAATCGTGGTTTGGATGAGATATCGTGGTGTAACAATTAAAAGAGGGTGTTAAATGTATATCAATATGAAACTAGCGTATAAAATGTGGCCAATTATAAAGAAATTTTATTCTCTGTCATGATGTTTCACATTAAGATGTAACAAAAAGGAATATTGAATCAGTTATATACCCTTCAAATAGCAAAACTATCTTGATTAACTGATGGCATGACATATATGGTATAACATATGTAATATTTTAAAGTTGCTATATGACGCTTCAGCCCGAACTACCTATATCGGGTTCAAGGTCCGAAAGCCGTGGGCTTGATATAGGTCAACAACAAGTCTGGGGTCTTATATCGAAACTGTCATACCAGAACACTTTTTTTATATACAATAAATGGTGATTTGTGCGTTAATTAACACTATTCAAACATGAAAAACCCATTAAGTTTTCCTGCTTTACTTTTGACGAACACTTATTTATTGTAATCGTTAAGGTCTGTTGCTAATAATTCCAATATACTTTTCCCGTTCATGTTTCCCGGAGAATTATTGCATATTTTGTAGAGTTGGGTAACAATATTTTCCAGTAGAATGTGGACATTACTTTGGGACCAAAACGTGTCCTCCTCTGGCCGACTTGTTGTTTACATATCACGTTTATAGAAGAGCTTCTCAGGGCTGGAAGGTTTTCCTTTGCCATGTCCTTCCATTTCATTTTCATATATATCGACAATGCCATATCTATTTATAACAGGACTTTACTGACCACTTCGAGCATATATATCTTCCTAAACTTGCATGCAATGACACTACATACTATTCAAAGTTCAATCTTTACTTACAACATGGCTAACAAGGACGGCTTTCTACTAAGCTGTACGATAAGCGTGACGATTTCAATTCTCCGATCATGCATTTCCCTCTTCTTGATAGTAACATCGCCAACCTACGACGTTTACCTGTCGCATTTGATTAGGTTTTCGAGAGTCTGCTCCGAATATTATGATTTCCGTTAAATTGTCGACTGCTGTCGGACAAACTTTGCAACACTGTTTTTCTAGAGATGCATGTTAATTAGGACTGTGCACGTTTTCTGGTCGCTGTTCTCATGTTTCTCTTTGTATAATATGAAGGATTGGCTTTTTGAATATGTAAGATTTTTATGCTCATTGCGTAATTCTAGCTATGTGGACGTGACATTACATTAATGATTTGTCTTAGGATTACATGTCTTATTTGTATTTTATACGAAGCAGATGACAATCACTCTTTCAGATCATCTGGCCACATTATCTTTGTTTTTTCAAGTGTCTCCATGTACGTTTTCCTTAGTAGATACATGTACCTTTGCAATATCATTAAAGTTTAATTCAGTGCAATTTAGCGTTTTCGAATGTAGAAAGAACATGAAAGAAAACAGCTGATTTTTGTATATATATATATATATGTTTGTGGGTCAGAGTTATTACAATTGTAACTTCTCAAATAACACTGGATCCTTGCAAACGTATGTTTGTAGGATACGAATTACTTAAAACAGTGTAAATAATATGAGGTTGTCACATTTTCGGGGGGAAAGGCCCTGTTCCACTGCACTGTGGGTTTACCTGTATACAGTAACCTCTCATAAATTTCCGCTTGGATAATAACTATAGCACAGTTGGGCCAGGACACTCCTGTTGACAAGGAAGCTTAATCGGTAAGAGAGATAGTACATCAATCTTAAGTGACCAGGGTTCGAATACCAGTCTAGCCCAGCTGATTTTTAACACTCGGAACACTGTTGTTGATCCTACTTTGTTTACATCATCTTGCTTTATTCTTATAAAAGATCCAAAAGGTACGGTGTTCCTTTCAGAAATGATTTTTCAAAGCTATAGTTATGCCGAAAAAGTAGTTTCCAAATCTTAGTTACAGGTTTGATAGTGACACGGGGATCCTTGAATTAAAAGATACACAATATTGCTGTATAACTTGTAGCAGAGTGGACTGTTTAAGTCATGTATGCCTTCTATCATCTATCAGCTATACTTTATATAAAAATAAAGCACTCATTTTGGAGTTTATCTTACTAAATAATGATGTCATCTAGCTGGAGGTCATGCACCGTCCGTCACTGTGTACCAATTTGAAGTTACCCCGTAATGAATTGGCCGCTTTTTGCCACAATGCTTTCAATGGTAATTATTTCTTAGTCGACACAGATAAGTGAAATAACTGAATTTGCATTTAACTTTTGTTCAACTCTTCTGACGTTCGTAAATTTTGACCAGGAAAAT